TTCCCTAAAAAAATAAAAAAATAATAATAAAACTTAAAAATAAATGTGTGTGTGTGTATATATATGTGTGTGTGTGTGTATATATGTATATGTATATGTGTATATATGTATGTGTGTGTATATATATGTATGTGTATATATATGTATATCTATATGTGTGTATATGTATGTGTATATGTGTGTATATATATGTGTGTATATATATATATATATATGTATATTTATACATATGTTGACAATGTTGTACAACCATTACCCCTAGCTAGTTCCCAAATATTTTCATCATCCCCGAAGGAAACCCCATGCCCAGTAAACAGTTGCTCTCATGGCCTCCCACCCTTTCCTCAATCCCTGAAAGCCATCAGTCTGCATTGGGTTTCTATGGCTTTACCTTTCCTCGATATGTCCTAGAAACAGAATCATACAAAACGTGGCCTTTTGTGTCTGGCTTCTTTGTTTTTTTGTTTGTCTGTCTGTATTGGTTGTTTGCTTTTTAATTTTTTGCCTTAGGTGCATGCACTTGCCAGAGAGAGACAGAAAGGGGAAAATGAGAAATCATCCCTCCAGGAGGATGGCCATGCCACTGTCCCTTCTACATCTTCTTTTGGGATTTTGAGCACACACACACATGTGCTCAGGGTGTTTCTCAGGCCTCTGGGTCTAGGCCTCAAATGGCAGAGGCAGCCATGTGGAATCCAGGACCTTAACAGTCCTGGCTTCTTTGAGGTAGCACACCATTTAGAGAGTCATCATTCTTTCACATTTTCTTGTGGCTAAATAATATTTCATTGTGTGTATATATCATTTATCCCTTTTTGGAAACTCCCAACCCTTGGCCTTACTTTAATACACAGCAGGCGCGGTACATGCTTTTTCCAGTTCCCAGCCTGTACTCCCTGCAGGTGACAGCAGTCCCCATCAGTAGCGTCTCTGGTCTAACTGGGTGTAGAGTCTTTCGGGGAACACTTGATCCGTGGAGCAGCTCCAGAGTGCACTGCATGTCGTCGGGGAAGTGTGCCTCACTTCCTGCAGAAGTATCACTAGAACCATCTACCTCAATCTTAATTTGCAACAACATGGTCCTACCAGGGTTTCTCCAAATCTAATTCCTAACCTCTCCCAACATTTTCCCTGCCATACTGCCAAATTAGCCTTCCAAAGACACTGTTTTCAGGGGCCAGCAGGTGGCGTGGTGGTTAAGGTGCCAGATACTCCCACATGGCTGACCATGGTTCAAGTCCTGGACCTGGTAGCTTACTTTCTCACTTTCCTCCTCTGTCTCTCTGTGTCACTCTGGTCAAATTAAAATGAATTAATGAAGAAATAAAATTAAGTTAAAAAACTTTAAAAAAACAGAAAACATTATTCTCAGGCCAGCAGGTGGTGCCATGGTTAAGGCACTGGATCTCACATGGCATCTTCACTGCAGTTGAATCTGTCAGCTTAAAAAACATACTGAGTGTGTGCGTGTGTGCGTGTGTGTGTGAGCATGCCCAAAATCCCAAGAGGAGAAGGGATTGCAGTGTGGTCATCCCCTGGGGGGTGATTTCTCACTACCTCTCTCTGTCTCTGGGGAGCCCACAAACCCTATGGCAAAAATCTAAACAAACAAATAAATGTGGTTTTCATCAGGCCACTTCCCTAGTCACAAAATAAGCTCCTTACTGATTAAAAAAAAAAAAATAGATTTTTAGCTTTGAAACCCTTCCTTCATGTAAAACATGTCAGAGAAACCCCAGTGGTAAGCTAGAGAGAGAGACAGGTCATCACCTCGGCCTCCCATCTCCCCAGCACACTAAGCCAGAAGCCTCTACAGGAACTCTAGGCTCTTATGGCATGGTATGAAAAACACTGACCTAAGGAGTCAAGTCAGATTTCTCTGCCTGGCTTCTAAGGCCCTCTACAGCCCCCAGCAATCTGCCAGTCAGCTTCCTGTTCCCAGCATGTTCCTTCCTCTTTCTTGTTCTTTTTTATTTCCCCTGCCAGAAATGTCCTCCTCCATTCCTCCACTCACACAAACCCTTGGCACCTCTAACTCATACCCACTCCCTTGACGAAGTCTTCTGTTTCTACCCACATGTTATAGAATGCCTAGGAACACCTCTTGCATTTAGAGTCAGTGATGAGTCATTTGTGTTCATGGATTGATCCAAGCTTGTTCTCCCCAACTGCACTGTGATAAGGGCCCCATACTTTTTCTGGAGTTCAACCCAGCACTAGCCTGAAAGAGTCTCCTCAAGGGGCACTAGTGGTCACCTGGAATCTTCTGTTCATCAAGCTTGCTCTTTATCTCCAGCCTTTTCTAAGTCCTAGACTCTCCTGAGGTACGTGGATGCCAAGAGCTAAGACACTGGGACAGTGAGAACACGGTGAAATATTGTATTCACAGAGAATTTGGTCTTTTCCAAGCGTTTCTGTTCCTAATCTACATTCACATGGGACAGGAACATTTCCAGGAGAGTCCCAGTTGTTTCAACAGAAAGCAAATGTCTCTAAGGACATTTCTTAGAATGTGAACGCCTATTATAAAATGGGTTTTTAAAAAATCTGCCAGAGGGCATGTATACTCGCCAGAGAGAGAGAAGGGAGAATCACCCACTGACGGGGTGTGGCCATTCCACAATCTCTTCTCCTTCATTTCTTCCTCCTTCCAGATTCTGCGCACGCACATACGCCTGCCAGGTGTGTCTCCCAAGCTGCTAAGTCTGTCTAGGACTCAAATCATGCAATTAGCCATGTGGGGTCCAGCTCCCACAGCTTTCAGGCAATATGCTGACTTCAAAATGACTATTTCCTTTTCTTTTTTTTAGAGAGATTTTTGCCATATGGTGCATGCACTTTCCAGAAAGAAAGTGAGAAATGACACCCTCCCCAGGAGGGTGGCCATACTGCCATCCCTTCTCCATCCTCCCTTTCAGGATTTTGGGCACACACCCACACATGCGGCAAATGTGGGTTTCAAGCCGTTCCAGGACTCGAACTGCAGTCGACTACAACGGTGTAACCATTATGCCATCGCTGATCCCCCAAATGGCTATTTTCACTTGTTTGTTTGTTTGTTTTTGAGAGGTTTTTGCTATAGGGCGCATGCGCTTGCCAGACAGAGAGAGACAGAGAGACAGAAAGCAAGAAATCACCCACCAGGGGGCATGGCCACGCTGCAATCCCTTCTCCTCCATTCAACTCAGGATCTTGGGCATGCACGCATCCATGCTTAGCGTGAGTTTTAAGCCACTGGGTCCGGGACTTGAACCACAGTCGACTACATAGGTGTCCAGCAACATAGCTATTACACTAACTGCCGGTCCCCAAAATGGCTATTTTCTAAATCCACTGTTGTTTTAAAACTCACCATGGGGCCAGTAGACAGCATGGGGGTTAAGACCCTGGACTCCCATGTGGCCAATCATAGTTTGAGTCCCTTACCTGTAGCTTGACAATCATGCCAGGCTCATGTGCTTGTGTGCCCAAAATATCCTGGGAGGATAGAGAAGGGACTGTGTTGTGGCCTTTCTCCCCAGGAGGTAATCTCTCTCTCTCTCTCTCTCTCTCTCTCTCTCTCGAACATACCCTAAGGCAAAAAAAAAATCCCTAGTTACACAAATTATTTTAGACCAATTGAAAGGCCATGATGAGAGAAATCAACACATCAAAGCCAGCTATTCGGTTCTTGCTATTGTTGATGTGTTTTTCATCTCTCTCCCTCTACCCCTTCCTCCTTCTCCATATCCTTCCTTTCTTCCCCTCTTTGCTCTGTTCAGGTTATCATGATGGGCATCTTGTGATCCGCTGGTTCTGGGCTGCAGTGGAGCGCTTCAACAATGAGCAGAGACTGAGGCTACTTCAGTTTGTCACAGGAACATCAAGTGTGCCCTATGAAGGCTTCGCAGCCCTACGAGGGAGCAACGGGCTTCGGCGTTTCTGCATAGAGAAATGGGGGAAAATCACATCTCTCCCAAGGTACAGAGTTGCAGCCATCCTTCAGTAGACCTGCCAGAGAGGGCAAAGTGTACTTTGCTGTTTGAGTTGGGTGATTATTCTCTAGGACCGAATTCACTTCTGTCATTCATAATATTTTTGAGTTATTAGTGAAAGGTGTAGGTGAGGTGTCTCTGAGGCTTGGATTGAGACTATAGTCTTAGTGAGATTTTGATAACTGATATTTAAGCTAATTTATGTATAGATACTATAGTAATATATGTTGCTTCAACAAACAAGAGAATGATCTCTATTGAGAGAAAAGATTGGTCGTCTAATAAGATATTTTCTAATTATAAAAGAAGATTTGCACTTAATTCAGCTCTATTTCTAGATAATCATACAAATACCTTTGCTAAATCCTTTTTGGAAATGACTTAGTATAAGGGTCCCCAAACCAACCCCCACAGCTGCAGAGCAGGACAGGAATGGCAGGTGAGTGAGTGAAGTTTCATCTGAATTTACAGCCACTCCCCATTGCTCACATGACCACCTGAGCTCTGCCTCCTATCAAATCAGTGGCAGCATATTAGATTCTTATAGAAGCATCAACCCTATTGTGAACGCTGCATGTGAGGGATCTAAGTCGAGGGCTCTCACAAACTACCCCCAACATCCATGGAAAAAATTGTCATCCACAAAACTGTTCCCTGGTGCCAAAAGGTTAGGAATCACTGACTTGGTGGACTATAGTTTCCATCTAGCTTTCCCAGACTGTCCAGTGTCCCAAAGGCAATTCACGTAATATCAGTAAGCATTATTAGGCATGTCCAGCTGGTTAACAAAGCTGAAAGACCTGGTACAGTTTCATCCCTGGTTTCACTTGGGTCAAAGACTCTCATTTGCATTGTTCTTTTTTTTTTTTTTTTGAGAGGTTTTTTTACTATAGGGCACGTGTGCTCGTCAGACAGAGAGACACAGAGAGACAGAAAGCGAGAAATCACCCCCCAGGGGGGATGGTCACACCGCAATCCCTTCTCCTCCATTCTCCTCTCGGGATCTTGGGCACGCATGCACACGTGCCCGGCGTGAGTTTAAGCCACCGGGTCCAGAACTCGAACCCCAGTCGACTACATGAGAGTCCAGCGACATAGCCATTACACTAACTGCTGGTCCCAAGAAGAAGGATTCTAGCTGAAGGAGAGAGAGGGTAAGAAAGGTAAGTCCATGTTCAGGAAGGAATGCCCAGCCAGTTTGGGGATAAGATGGCCAGAGCAACATCACAGACAGTGCATTTGGAAAACATAGCTTGGTGAGCCACAAAAAAAAAAAAAAAACCCTCCTGGGACCAGCAGTTAACGTAATGGCTATGTTGCTGGACTCCCACGTAGTCGACCGCGGTTCGAGTCCCAGACCCGGTGGCTTAAACTCACGCCGGGCGCATGTGTATGCATGCCCAAGATCCCGAGAGGAGAATGGAGGAGAAGGGACTGCGGTGTGGCCATCCACCCTGGGGGGTGATTTCTCACTTTCTGTCTCTCTGTCTCTCTCTCTATCTGTCTGGCGAGCACACGCGCCATATAGCAAAAACCACTCCCCAAAAAACAGAACCTCCTGAGGAGTCTCTGCTTTATTTTTTAGAAAACAGGAGTCATTGCTTCCATCATTTGGGGTCAGAGATTAAACATAATTTACATATTTGGTTAGGAAGTTTTGAAATATGCATTAATACTCTTAACCCATGCAAAGAACTGACAAATCAGTCACTGAGCCTATAAACAAGCTCTCCACATCTGGGCCAAGGCATCCCTAAAAAGATTGCTGCTCCGTAAGCTACAGAGTTTCTTGCAAAAGAGGGGACCTGGTCCTGGGACAAGAGGGCCCCAACAAGCAAAATGAAGTGAAAATGGTCCACTGAATTGCAACCCCCGACCAGTCTCTCTTACATAGTTTCTGCTGATCCAAGAACCTCAAAAGTGTCAGCTGAGTGTGGAGGAAAAGAAATAACTTCTGACTTCCAAGAACTGTAGTTCAGGAAGACCTAGCCAGGCAGGAAGCCCTAAGGCTAGCAGGAGGCGAAGCAAACTCAGAGCGACTGAGGCTTCCCAGGGACTGTGAGCCACAGTGCACACGGCCAAACACCCTGAGGGGAAATGCCAGGAGCTGCTCTTTCCTCAAATTGTCCCTCTACATAAAGTAAATGCAACTGGCTTCTCACCTGAGAGTGCCAAACAGTCCCAGTAAAAGCCACTCATAGCTCAGACTAAAGAAAATCTGTATGTCAACTCAAGTCCTGGCTTCCTAAAAAAAATGTGTGAGGGCAAGCCAGCCAGTGACATAGTAGTTAAGGCAACTGGAAATCGTGTGGCTGACTGTAAGGTTCAAGTCCTGGACCTGGTGATTTAAAGACACACACCGGGCACATGTATGTGCATGCCCAAAATCCCAAGAGGAAAATGGAAGAAAAGGAAAATGGCAAGCGTATCCCCCAAAGGTGGTTCCCCTACTCCCTCCAGCAAGCACAGGTGCCCTGTGGCAGATTTTTTCAAAGAGAGAAAAGAGTATGATGGTTAGAAAAAAAAGGCTTTTGAAAATAGTCTAATTTTATCATGCCTAGGGAAGACACTCCATATACCACCATAGCTAAGGTAGGTGAGAGACAGGGTTGTCACTAGGGTGGAGGTGGAGAAGTGTTAGTGGTGATCCACATGGACTTAGTGCTTCCTTGTGGAAGGACTTGAAATGAAAAGGAAGATTCAAAATAAGTGCCAGGGATTTTAATAAATGTAATTAGCTAGAGGAGCAGAGGGTTAGAGGAGCAGAAACTTTATCTAGATCACTGATTCTCAAGCTTTCGAAACTATAGCCCACAGAAAAGAATATCCTTTACATCACAATGCACTCATTCACATGTATGTGTGCATGTATCTGAGACCGAGTTCCTCGAGATGACAATTCACTCGTTATCTGCAATACACTTTCTTTCTTTTTAAAAAAAAAAAAAAAGAAAAAAAAAAGTTTTTGCTACAAGGTGCATGTGCTCACAAAGAAAGGAACAGAGATAGAGTGAGGGAAAGTGAAAATTACTCCCCAGGGTGGATGACCACACCACAATCTCTTCTCTTCCATTTTTCTCTCACGATTTTGGGCATGCATGCACACGTGTCGAGCATGATTTTTAAGGGGCCAGGTCCGAGACTCAAACCACAGTCAGCCATGTGCTAGTCCAGTGCCTTAACCACCATACCATCTGCTAGCCCCAATTTTTTTGTTTTTGTTTTTGTTTTTGTATTTTTAATGCCATTACACTCGCCAAAGAGAGACAGAAAAAGACAGCAAGAAGGAGTAAGACTCACCCATCGGGGGAATGCCATGCTGCAATCCCTTCGCCTCCATTCCTCTCTTGGGATTTTGGGCGCGCGCGCGCGCGCGCACACACACACACACACACACACACACACACACACACACAAAGGGAAAAAACGCTGGGTCTGAGACTCAAACCATAGAGTCAGCCATGTGGGATTCAGCACTTTAACCACCACACCACCTGTTGACCCCTAATTATCATTTCTTGAGTGAACGTAGGCCTGTGTTTTGTTTTGTTTTGCTTTTAATTGTTAGAGGGTATGTATGTTAGCCAGAGAGAGAGAGAACATCTCCCCATGGGGGTGTGGTCACACAGCAATCCTTTTTTCTCCATTCCTCCTTCCTTTCAGGGTTTTGGGGACACATACATGAGCACATGGCTTGCTTTTCAAGCTACCAGGGCCAGGATTTAACCACGGCTGACCAGGTGGCATCCTGCTCCCTTACCTCTGCACTATGCGGCCGTCACCAGCACAGGTTTATTCGAATGTTAGATAATAATTGAAGAACTCCGCTAATCTCTACTTTCATGTTTCGCTTCATCCTAGCTAAATCCTTAAGGCCTAAGGCCAGGTACTCTAGTGTCCTGTCCCTACCCTCAGAGCTCAAGGAGGGGAGGAGGGCGCAAGGAAGAGAGAAATAGAATTCAGCAACAGCCCCCCAGGGGCCATGAGGGAGCTTTACCTGGAGCAGGAATGGATGCCCAAGGTTCTCCTTGTACAGGAAAATCTACCACCCCCCTCCCTTTCCCTCACTTTCCTCATCCTCAATATAATCTCCCCTGTACTCTAAGTGTTATATTTGCCTGCGTGATAATCTGGTACTTTGATCCATATGGCCAACCATGGTTCTAGTCTCAGATCTGGTGTCTTGAAATGCTTGCTGAGAACATACATGTGCATGCCCAAAATCCCTAGAGGAGAATGGAGAAGGGATTGTGGCATGGCCATCCCCACCGGGGGGTAATTTCTCACTTTCTGTCTCTCTGTCTCACCTGTGAGTGCATACACTCTATAACAAAAATCTCTCCAAGAAAGACAAAAAACTACTGGCAGTGATCAGCTAGTTGGTTGACTTGATGCCCTTTGGGAGGAATCTGTGTATGTCGGGCTTCTTGTGCTCAAGGCCAGAGACCACATGAGTCTTCCTGGTCCACACGTTGGCTCATGGCAGGAAAGATGTTCTTGCTTATGGCAGACACAGATAAACATGGGCCTGTAGGATGAAGCACATGATGCAAAAGGCGGAACCCAGGGTGGCTGGCATTAGGATGCCCTATCATCCGGGGAAGAGTGCCTCACAAACTCAGCTTTTCTTGGAAATGCAGCACTTCAGATGAGGATTATGCATGCTCTCCTGCGGTAGAGGGATCAGACTTGTCTCAGGACTTGAACGGAGAATCAGATCTCAGAATCATAGGGCATCATGGACTCCTCTAAGTAGGTACACATAGTTTGTAGAGGCCCAGAAATCTGAGCTGGGAAGAAGACCTAGGAATCCAATCCTTTGATACTAATTATATTTCTGCCTCTTCCCCCAGCCATTACCTAAATTCATATCTCAGTTTGAAAATTCAGGCTGATACCATAGTTTATCATTCATTTGCCATCGTAGTTCTGGTTATAAATGCTCACCACTGAGCCTAGCTATTCCATTCCCTCAGCTGGTCTATTCATGTCAAGAAGGCTGTGGTTCTTGCCTTGTCATATTTTAACATGGTCTTAAATCACATGGTTCTGCTCACCTTTGATTCCCAGCTTCAAACAGAGTCACAGACACACCCAGAATAAGTTGTGTCACTGAAGCAAACACCCTCACCAGTCTTTTCTTCTCCACACACAGGGCACACACATGCTTCAACCGGTTGGATCTTCCACCATACCCCTCGTACTCTATGTTGTATGAAAAGCTGTTGACAGCAGTAGAAGAAACCAGCACCTTTGGACTTGAGTGAGGAAATGGAACCTCGTCTGACATCTTCCTGTCCAGCGACATCACCCTTTCTGGGACGACCCTCCTTCCCCTTTCCCTCAATCAATCTCCATTGATTTTGGTATTTCATTATTTTTATTTTCAAACCAAATCAGGATTGACTAAAGCTGTGCATGAAGAACTGCCTTCTTCTAAGATCTAATCTTCAGGCTTATCTCCTCTGTTTTCAGTGAACTGCTAGCCTGTATGCAATATTAAAAAAAGAAAAAGCAACTGTCTCAAGGTCTGTGTATATCTCCACATACCTCCATTACTAACAATGAAATATGAATGCAAGTTATGCTACACTTGACCAAATGGTAATAAATGTTTACTTCCATTTTTATCATGTCAGGAAAAATTTGAGCATTAAGCATTCCAAGCTTTGATATGCCCATGTCTTCTGACCAGAGCCTCCATTTTTTTAAAATCATTTTTCACAACCAAATCCAGTTCTAGCAACTGATCAACTCTTTGTTTTTCTCCCACTCTATTTCTTGTATGCATACCATCCACCCAAAGGACAGCAGTGGCAAAACTGAAATTTTTATCCATTCAATTCATGATTCCTAAGTGACATCATCAGTCCCATCGGCTGGAACTAGCCTAGACATACGGTGCAAATATGACACTTCCAACCATTAACAATGGCAAGAGAAACATGTGCTGATGCAACGCAGTGCATCCCAGTGGTTGTGGGGATTCAGAGAAGTCTAGGAGAGAAAGCATCCCCAATGAATGTTCACCACATAAGAAGCACCAACTTGTGCACATGTCTAAGAAGAAAGTCTTTTTGATTGATGTAACATGAAGGACGAGGCTCCACCCCCCACTACGTTGTATAAAACATGGTTAAGCAAATGGGAGAAAGGGAAGAAGGACATGTTATATTGGTTTGAATACCTGAATTCTGTGCTGTTCTGTTTAGCGTCGCAAAGGAAAAAAAAAGTATATTCTCGTGACTTTTGTTACAGTCAGGTATTGCTTGCTTGTCAGACGATTTTTTTTTTAACTTTGATATTTTTTCATGTTTTTTTTTCCTTAATCATGGTGTTCAAGTTTCTTCACATCTGACTATCTACAGGGACCACGTTAAATGAGAAGCTGCAGAGAGTGATGGTGCTCATTAGGGGTCAAGGGCAATATAGAACTTCTTCTTCACCCATAGCAATCTTCCTGGGTCAGAAACATAACATGCGAAAGGCACATTGGTTTGTGTCAAAATAAATATCCAATTTCTTTTAATATTCAGTAAAAAAATATCTCAGAAAACTTAGTATTTCTAGAAAAACAGTTGCAGGCTCCAAAGACAGCCTAACCTCCCAATAACATTTGAAATAAACCCAACTGTACTGGTCATTTACTATTTTTCTAACCTTGTTAACCATATTGTCTGAAATATGTCCTAATGAAAGTGTTTTCCTTCACTGGGAAAAGAACAGCTTAAGAGACTCGATGATTTAAATGTCACATTGTTGTTTTCAATATATTAAAATAAGGGGCAATGGGAGACATGTAAGACAAAGTTCTTTTCAGCTAGAGCCATGTCCAGTGGCTTACTCTTCCGTTTATGTCTGGGTGATACGTGATTTATGGTCCCTGCACTCTAAAATAAAACTTTCCTTTTTTTTTAGAATAATTTTATTTAACTTTATTTATTTATTTATTTATATTAATTTGACTAGAGAGGAACAGAGAGAGAGAGAGAAAGTGAGAAAGCAAGCTACCAGGTCCAAGACTCGAACTGCCGTTGGCCATGTGGGAATTCAATACCCTTAACCACCATGTCACCTGCCGGCCCAAAAACTTTCTTTTAGTAGGAATTATTTATTTAGCAACTCTTGAGGCTGTCTACCTTGTCCATCAGGGCACATATGTTATAGGAATGTAGCCTCTATGGTGGTCTAAAGAGAACATGACCGGGTTGGGGTGGAATGTATAGTGATAGAGAATTCAAGAGGTATGTACAATTCAGTGCGCATTTCAGCATCTGAAAGTAATGGAGTCCAATGGAGCTATTATTTACTTATAAAAGCAGAGTGTAAGGGTTATGTAAATTATTTCACCAGACCCTTACTCTAACTCTCTAATATAGGGTGCATCTGTCATCTGGAAAATTTGGTGTTTTATATAATATAAAGACTCGTTAATTTAAGCAGTCGACTGTCCTTTTTCTACTTACATTATTTGCCAGGCATCAGAAAGGGAGAAAAATGTTTCCAAAGATGGAGCCTGCTTCTTGAGAGCTTTACAATTCATGTAACTAGCTAATTGAGTAGATCAATTCCTATCCATTTTGGCCCACAGACACAGGGAACCAGGTATCTTAGAAATGGTGTATTGCGAGGTGACTTTGGCACAAATGGTTTTTCAGCTAGCTTACCTTTGTCCGCCGCTGTCACCACTTGATGCCCCAGGACCAATCCTTCATGAAAGTGCAAGATTCCATGAAGAAAAAGTGATGTCAGAGCCACCTGAAAGAAAACAAAGCTTGCTTAAGGAGGCCTTATGGTCTGTTCCAGTCTGGCACAGAGTCCTTAAGGAAGGAAAACAAAAGGAAGGTGACACAGTAAGTTATGGATTCTTCTCACCTCATACATGAGGCCAACCTACATGATCATATACAGCCACAGACCACATGGATGACATGGTCCCATGAAATTACAATATTTCTATAGCCTAGGTCTGTAATAGGCTATACTTTCTAGATTTGTGTACGTGCATTCTATGATGTCCACACAATGACAAAATCACTCAATGACTAATTTCGTGAAATGTATCCCTGTCATGAAGTGATGCACGGCTGCGTGTGAGAGAAAGAAAGAGACAGAGAAATAGCTATAAAACTCAATTATGCCATTAATTTCACCAGGTGGAAGTACACCTGGAATCACAGAATTCAGTGGGTAAGACAGATTTATCTCCTACCACCTTTTTACATTTTATTTATTGAAAGCAGGAGTTGCTCCATGGAAGCACAGTGCCAAATGGATCACTCATATGCCGCATTCCCCCTAAAACAAGATCTTTAGAACCTGTTTTTGGTAAGAATGTAAGACCTATAATCAGGAGACAAGCAAGAACAACAAATAAGAAAAAAAAATTATGTCATAATTTTGAAAAATATTTTTAAATGCTCTAAGATGTAATAATAATAATTTCATGGATATAGTATAAATGTTTTATTTTATAATATGAAAATGATGATCCTAAAACATGTTCAAAATCTATTGACTTCTTTGCAATTTCCTATGTATATAAATTGTCAAAGCTTGTAGAAATGTTTTACTATCATCACTAGAATAGCACAAAAATTGCCTACGAGAAAGAAATATCTGATTTGGGGGACAGAATTTACATATGCGAGACCTAAGTCTTTCTTTTCTTTTAATACATGACCACTTGTCCTTTAACAGTGAGTGCCTCTGTGTGGCAAGCCACTGAGCTGTTTTCCAGGACAGACCTCATGTTAACTCATGAATCACACTGTCACTCCATGTTTCAAACTATGTGTCCAAAGTTTGGGTTAAGATTTCTCAATTGCCACAGATATTTTCCCAGTCAAGAGGAAACACTTTCAAATGAAAGTAGTTAGAATTTTACATAACAAATGTGGTGCTTTATTATTATTATTGATTATTATTATGTAATTCAGTGTTCATTATTAAAATTACTGCAATACTGTATCATAAAAATCTGGGATGGATGTTCCAGCCATCATAAGGTCCAAAAGAGAAAGTGTTCTTTTCCTGTTAGTGACATGTAGTTACTTTGTTCTAGTAGAAAAAAAAGGTGCCTAGAGGTAGTATATAGCGTAAATAATGTTCCACTAGCCTACTTCCTGCAGCTTCCAATTTATCTAAGGAAATGTCTCCAACAATTTTGTTAAAAAGTCTTTGTTCTAGTCAATAGCAAGAAAAGTCCATATTATTGGGCTGATTTTGCTTGCATTTGACAAGAGAAATGTCACGTGATACTCAGGCCGCGCTTTCTCTTCCATTATACCATCTCCAAGGAATGTCAATAAACTCACTTTGGTATGGCATCGTGTGTGTTCCTTATTGCCAACGGTAATCCAAAGTGGACGTGTGTTGTATCGTGTCTGTGCCCTGCCGGATGTAAGCAATAAAGCAACACAGAGGACTAGGACTGCCAGCTGCAATGATAAACACTCCCCCTAAAATATGACTTCTCCAAAAAAGCAAGGTATGCTCAAAAATCCATGCAAAGGGAGAGCTTTTGTAAGAAGCGACTTGTGTATGCCTATTAGAACTGCACACAGGCTCCACACAGTGGCACAACAACAAAATGCGACACCCTGCAAGGCAATCCCACATGGGGAGGTTCCCGGTTCAAGTCTGGAGACCTCCCTAAGTATTCCAGGCACACAAAATGTGTACCCGTGATCTAAGATGGCTTAAGAGTGGAGTTGGGTCACAGCTCCGAGATCCTCTTGGGATGCTGTCTGTCTCTCTTTCTGTCTCTTTTTTTTTTTTCTCTCTCTCTCCCTCTCTCTTCCCTTAGCTCATGGAAGAAATAAACACTTTAAAAAAATTTTAAGAATTATTTTATATTATTTGTTATTATTATTATTATTTTAATTTGACCAGAGAGAGAGAAAGGGAAAGTGAGAAAGCAAGCTGCCAGGTCCAGTCTCAAACCGTGGTTGGCCATGTGGGAGTCCATCACCTTAAAAATACTGAACCACCTGCCGACCCCAGTAAAGAAACTTTTTCAAAAGGCTATACAGGGGCCAGCAGTTGGCATAATGGCTATGTCGCTGGACTTCCACGTAGTCGACCACGGTTGGAGTCCCGGACCGGGTGGCTTGAACTCATGCCGGGCACGTGTGTGTGCATGCCCAAGATCCCAAAAAAAAAAAAAAAGGCTATACACACCAGGAACAGCAGATGGCATAATGGCTATGTCGCTGGACTCCCATATAGTCAACCGTGATTTGAATCTTGGACTCGGTGGCTTAAACTCATGCTGGGTGAGTGTGCATGCGTGCCCGAGATCCCGAGAGGAGAATGGAGGAGAAGGGATTGCTGCATGGCCATCCCCCGGGAATGATTTCTTGCTTTCTGTCTCTTTGTCTCTTGCTCTGTCTTTCTGGCAAGTGCATGCATCCTATAGCAAAAATCTCTCAAAAAAAATAATAAATAAAAATTAAAAAGGCTATCTATACACAGGGACCAGCAGTAGTCTTCCATGGTTCAAGTTCTGGACCCGGAAGCTTAAAACTTGCTCCAGGCACATGTGTGTACATGCCCAAAATCCAGAGAGGAGAATGAAGAAAGGATTGTGGCATGGCCATCTCCCCTGGGCAGTGATATCTCACTTTCTGTCTCCCTATCTCTCTGGTGAGTGTACCTGCTCTATAGCAAAAGTCTCAAAAAATAAAGCTATTCACAGGGGCCAGCAGGTGGCATGGTGGTTAAGACATTGGGTTCTCACATGGCCAACCACTGTTCAAGTCCTGGACCTGGCGACTTGAAAATCATATTAGGCACGTGTGCATGCATGCTCAGAATACCAGAGACTGGAGGAGATGGGATTACAGTGCGGCCGTCCCCTGGGGGGCGATTGCTCATGTTTCCTCTCTCTGTCTCATTCCGGTGAGCACACGTGCCCTATGGAAAAAAAAAAAAAAAAAGAAGAAGAAGGAAAGAAAAGACTGTATACACAAACCACATGTGCTTCATTCTGTGAGTGTCCTTCATGTAGAAACAGATGCCCACCTGCTTACCTGAGTTCTCACCTGCTGAGATGCCCTACGATGGTTTCAGGCTGCAATCTATCACTCAGGATGGCCACTCGGTAAAGGCGTTGTGTCCTGTGACACATACTACAGACTCCCCATGTTAAAATGGCAAGACCTCCTTCCAAGCCTCTAAAAGACAAACCATGTGTTCCTCACTGGCTGATCGGAAGGTGATTTATTCTTTGAGGGGAAAATATTTTATTATAAAAAAAGTGGGTAAGACTGAGATAAGGAAAAACCTGAAGGACTGACTTCAAGACAGAAAAACAGGTTCATTTTAGATGTATTCCAATTAAGAATGAAGAGAGGGACCAGCAGATGGCGTAATGGCTACGTTGCTGAAGTCCCATGTAGTCTACAGTGGTTTGAGTCCTGGACCCGGTGGCTTAAAACTCACGCCAAGCACGCGTGCATGCATGCCCAGGATCCCGAGAGGAGAATAGAGGAGAAGGGATTGCAGCGTGGCCATCCCCCTGGGGGGTGATTGCTTGCTTTCTTTCTGTCTCTGTCTTTCTGGCAAGCATACGTGCCCTATAGCAAAAACTTCTCAAAAAAAAAAAAAAAAGAACTAAGAGAAAAGGGACTAGCAGGTGGTGTGGTGGTTGGGGTGCTTGGAGTGCTGGACTCCCACACTGCCAACCATGGTTATGGTCCCAGACCTGGCAACTTGCTTTCTCACTCTTCCTCTCTGTCTCTCTCTGGTCAAAATAATGATGATAAATTTTTTTTTCTTTTTTTTGGCAAGGTTTTTGCTATAGGGTGTGGATGCTCACCAGACAGATAGAGACAGAAAGCAAGAAATCACCCTCTAGGGGGATGGCTGCACCATAATCCCTTCTCCTCCATTTTCCTCTCAGGATCTTGGGCA